ATCATTTCTTTATTTAATTTGTATAGTGATAGATATATATTGTGAAAGAAACAACATCTCTCATGTATAATAGTACAATGAGTTAAATGCTAGTTTGCCTACAGTAACCATTAGACTAATATTGAAAAGAAATTTTAAAACAATATATCTTGTCAAGAGATTCCAAGCAGCTATAATTACCTACTTAGTATTGGATGAAAGAAAATTAAGATAGTCTGAAATTAATTTGGAAATACACTTAGTAAAATTAAATCTGCTTTGGATATAAGAATCAGCAACTAATATAGGTAAATCTATAGTAGTTGAATCTATAGTAGTTGATGTTGAAGTGAAGGAGTTGTTAAGAGATTTGGATTTGGCTAGGTTTTTGATTGCTTGTTTTAATATGTTGCTGTGAGAGTTATTGTTCCATTTGATACCAGTAAGGGAAGAAGTGTTTGCTGTGATACAGTGAGATATCCAGATTGATTTATATAAGTGGGAAGAGTTTTTCTATCATTATTGATTTTTAAATATTTATATAAATAAGATTATTATATAAACAAACAAATAAATATTAATTATCTAGTTATACAAGTTTAGATTACAATAAGATTTCAAATCAATATCAAAATGATATTAATTTATAATATGAATTATAATTCACTCTATCAAACTTATAGTAAATTCAGTATCAACTTGATATTACAATAATATCATTATAAATTCTAGTTACAATTCAAAATTCAAATATTATATTAGCAATTAATAACATAATTGGAAGTTAGCTATTATTTATTATTTACTATTATTATTATTATTGTTTTGAATTTTTAAAATGTTTACATATGCCATATATATTTTTGACAAATTATAATTAATTTATTTTTGTAAAGATCATTGACATAACAATAGCAAAGAATTAATTTAATAAATTTCTTGTATTTAATACTTATTAAAATAAAAATTCAAAATAATAATAATAATAATAATAAAAATACGTTAATTTACTTGTTTAAATGTATTTTCAAATTAAAAAAAAAGGTGTAATACGTTTCTTATTTTTCTAAAAATCTGATATATGAAATCTTCAAATAAAGATACAATTATTTAATATCATTTTTGATCAAAAATTTATCTTAATAGAAAAAATATTATTTATATTTTCTTGTATGTCATTATATTTATTATACAGTATATTATTATTATTATACTACCATATACAGTATGTGCAAATTATTAATTCATTTACCGATTTTTTGTTAAACTGCAGACCTTGTCCGGATGGTCGTACGCGTCAGCCTTGGGAGGCAACAAAGTAAGGGAATTCTTTTCCCAAGTTTTTCATTGTCGTTGGCGTTGAATTACACGAGTTCGTCGTCTTCCGTTATCATTGTAAGACAACGTCGAGATCACCATGAACAAACTTCGTATCTCTTTGTACGCGCACGGGTTTTTTTTGCGATACGTAGCCGGAAAACTTTAATCCGATGATGAAATGATGTGGGCGGGTTATAAACATTGGAAATGCCTTTGTATGGCGATTTAAGGCGTATATAAACGCACCGGAAGTCTAAAATTTATATACTTTTTTTTTTCTTCGAATTAATATTAAATTTATGCGTGTGTTTTAAAAATGTCAACGTCAACAATCTCATCGATAGACACGTTGCTAAAATACCAAAACCTAAACCTAACTCTAGAGCCACAAAGTCCAACACCCATAAAAAAAGACATAGCGAAACCCATTAAAGAAGAATTCCCTCAGAGAAACCTGAGGAAGAGTGAAAAACCGTTACGGAATCGCATCTTTAGACCTGAAGATCTGAAGTTGAATACAAAAATCAAAATATTTGATCAATGCGGTGTAATCAGATTCATCGGCCCGACGTCGTTCGCGACGGGCAAATGGGTTGGAATCGAACTGGATTCGCCATTGGGGAAGAATGACGGTAGTGTAAATGGAAAGAGATATTTTGTTTGCAAGGAAAATCATGGAATTTTTGCCAGGGCATCAAAGATTACAGAGATTATTGACGATCGAGGAGAAACTGACGAGGAGACGAGGTGGGAATTTTTTCCTCGAATATCAATCACATGATCATATCACGTGTATAAAGAAAAAAAGTTTTCGGATTATCGCAAAAAAATTCAATGTAAAGTCAATTCGTCGTCCGTCATTCATATAATGTCCTTCAAAACACTGTTTCGTAGAAATCCTTTAATAGCTGCCGCCCGTTCTCTAGCGGCACCAACGGTGATACCTCCGCATGCATCCAGAAATGCGTCAACGGTATCCGCCAGGGTCCAACTGCTTCAAAACTCACTTTTTCCAACAACACCAAAGCAGACATCAGGCTCGCGTACAAATAGGTTCGCCCAATTTTCGACCACTATCAGTAGTTATAATAAAGAAGAATCTACAAATACGAATGTTAATGATAATAATGCCAGCGACGGAGAAAAGGCACCTGAAAAACCAACAGGCGATGAGGATAGTGGATCGGAAGTTGATCCTAGGGATAAGGAGATAGCTTTACTCAAGGTAACCCATCTTTTTTTGTTTTTATTATAATTTATTTGATTCATATGATGTGAAAGTAATTATGCCGCACGCGTAGGATAAGCACCTCCGCTGTTTAGCAGAGCTAGAAAATCAGCGAGAAATTGCGCGTCGCGAAATAGAAAACACATCACTATTCGCCATTCAAAAATTCGCCAAAGATCTACTCTCCACGGTCGACAATCTCGACCTGGCTCTCGAGTCCGTTCCACGTGAATTACGTGAATCTCATTCATCGGAGGAATCTTCATCGCTTCATGGTCTAATGACTCTGTATAAAGGAATTGAATTAACGAGTTCCGAATTGTTGCACACGTTAAAACGACACGGTGTGGAGAAGGTCGAGCCGAAAATAGGAGAGAGATTCGACCCGAAAGTTCATGAAGCCCTTTATCAGGCCAGTTTCAAAGATAAGGAGGTTGGTACTATATTTGACATACAGAAGATCGGATACAGCCTAAATGGTAGGGTCATTAGGTCTCCTCAGGTTGGTGTTGTTTCAGATGCCGAGCAATGAAATGGTATTATAAAATATTGTAGACAGTTTGATGTGGCAATATTATTAATAGAGAGTAGAATTGGAAGGATAAATCACAAGATTTATTATTATTTTTTTTTTTTTGTACAAAAAAAAATGATTCAAGATAAAATAAACTAGTTGCATTTTATCATCTCGTTCGAGTAAATAATTGCTATGTGACAGTGATAATGATACCCTTTGCAATTTTAGCAATATTTGATAAAGTGTTAGTATTTGCGTGTAACATGAAAGGTTGCTGCAAATGGTGCCGAGCGATCAACGTCTGTAATCAAATGCAGCAGCCACGTGTCAACCATATCCCTGTTATGGTATCATCGAGACCAATCCCAATGATTCTCGCTATTAACCAAACGCATCGAATTCCTCATCTTTTCTCCTATTCCTACTCTTTGTGCAACATCTTGACAGCTAGAAAAATAAGAGTTGAGTTCCATTGGTAATTATAAGCGCACATAATTTTTAAAATAACCGTCGCATATGTATGTCAAAAGTCTTCTTACCGTACAAATCATCCTTACAGCTCTCATAAATCTTCTTCTCCATGGATTCGGATAATACGGTCTTCTCCACGGATTCTCATCTTCTTCATCCTCATAGTGATCACTGTAATATTTCCTTTGCTGTTGGTGATTTAAATATTCTATAGTCGTCATATCCATTAGATCTATGAAAAGTTTGAAAAAATATTAATAATATATGGAGATACTCGCAACAAAAATTTTGAAGTTCAACATTGCTTACATAGTCTCGCGTGAAAAAATAACAAATAACTGAGAAACAGAACAACTCCTAAGCTAATGAGTACCAATATAATATTTATGAAAAGTCCAAAAATCATAATATTTGGGACTAAAGGTGAAATGATTAAACGCACTATAACAAAGAAAAAAAGTAATATTAGAGAACGAGTTCTGTAAAAAGTACAAATCAAATACATGCACAGTATATATATATCAAGTGTGTACCGTTCATCTTGTAAATATCTTCAGAATCCAGGTATACGTTAAAGGCACGCACAGCTAGCCAAAGGCTCATTATTGACGCCAATAGAGATGATATTAAAAATGTCACAAATGTTCTATAGGAAACAATGACAAGTGTGAACATGAAATCCTGCATTCACTGCAAAAATGATTTTTACCGGAATTCATCGTACCGATAGTTGGATTCCGCGATGCAGCAATTCAGCCATCGACAATGATGATCGAAACCTTGTACACACTATGTTATCAAGTAGAATTGAGTGTTATTTGAGAAATATGAGACGTACAATAAATTTTCAATTCATCACCTTATTACAAAATTTACAGTGTCTTGTTCCCCATCCCCTGCATTTAGAAAGCAACACATAATCAGCGAGAGGGTAAGAGGTATTAATGTTCGCGAAACACTTTACATACACTTTGAATCTACAAATTCCACACCAGCCATCCACAACAACTGGCATTCCTTTTGTCTTCATGTAAGTCATGTCTCTCTCCCTGCTTTCTCTCATCACTTTCTTATCCGTCGTATCGGTAAATGAGACCTTCAGACAAGTGAGAACTGAAACAAGAACGGTTAAAAAACCTAGGAAACCCCATAACAACTTAGATCCCTGCATGCTATACGATACATCTTGTTCATAGTAATTTTCATCTACAATAAATTTAAGTGAAAACCCAAAATATCCGGTGGTGAGAGTAACTATGATAGTCCACAGAAACACCAGCCAAATGTCAAAAGGCGAGTGATAACCATGAGTCCGGTACCACGCGTTTGTGGTAAGTTTAAAGTGACTAACTGCTGAGATAAGGAAAAAGCGTTCAAGGCGAGTAGAATGTTTGGAGTCGGTGAAGGAGTGCGGACCAGAGAGTTTATGGTATTTTGTAGTAGAATTAGGGGAGGAGTGTTTTAGGGAAGCCGGCATTGTTCAATTATGAGAAAAGAAGGGACTGGTATTCGTTTGGTAGTTGACTAAATTATCGTTATCGTCGTCGAAAGAGTATTGTGTCCTACACATAGTCCTCTCATTATATGAGCATTTTGAAGAGTAAATGTTGCGTTGTTCTATACGTACACAATAATATTCTCCGAAACAAGACAATAGGAGGAGGAAGATGCATTAGCAACTTCAATTTTTATGTACCACCAATCATCGGGCTGATGGGTGGAATATATAAATATCAGTGTTTTTTAGATGCATTACGTACTACTTCCGTCATCCTCAATATGAGCAAGAAAGTACGCATGGTTTTTTCTATTATTGAATGAATAAATTTGGGTGATGCTTTGGAAGAAATGAAATCAAAAATATCACAAATAGATAAAATGAATAAAAAAGCTGAATGATTTTCTTAAAATAGGTACTTTTGATGGGAAAAAGTGGGTCTGGCAAGACCTCGATGCGAAGTATAATATTTCATAATTATGTCGCGAAAGATACACGTCGTCTTGGTGCAACCAGTTGCGTATGAGTTATCTTTCTTTGAATTATTTGCAACTTTTTGGCTACATCTTTTTTTTTTGAAAACGTTCAACAGTCGACGTCGAGAACTCTCGGGTTCGATTTCTCGGCAACCTGGTTCTAAACCTATGGGATTGCGGCGGGTTGGTGTTCAATCGAGATCATCAGATTCCTATCAAATCCAACCTTAGTATTAATTCTCTTGTTTATCTTGCTTATCGATCAGTCAAGATATGTTTATGGAGAACTATTTTGCGTCTCAACGCGAACATATCTTCCGTAACGTCGAGGTGCTTATCTATGTATTTGATGTCGAATCAAGAGATATCGAAAAAGACATGCATTACTATCAAGATTGTCTTGAAGCGATACTCGTGAATTCGAAAAATGCCAAGGTTTTCTGTTTAATACATAAAATGGATCTAGTGCAAGAGGAGATGAGACATCGAGTAGGTCACCATGCTAAGAAATAGAGCAGTATCTTGTGTTTTATTGGGTTTTTTTTTTACAGGACTCTTACTCCTAAAAATTTTCATAGGTATTCGAAGCAAGACTTAACGAGTTAAACACGCGATCCGAGCCTGTTAAAATCACAGCGTTTGCCACATCAATATGGGACGAATCCCTTTATAAAGTAAGCGTCGAGGAAACAGGGTGTTCCGTGAAGTTCTGCCTTCACCTTAAGTTTGACAATAATTTCTAACTTATATGCAGGCTTGGTCGTCCATAGTTCACTCCTTAATTCCAAATGTAAAATTGCTTGAGTCACATCTTCAGAATTTCGCGACCATTTGTGAAGCTGATGAAGCCGTGCTGTTCGAGCGAACTACATTTCTAGTCATCTCTCACTGCACGAAGATGGATAATACAGATATTCACAGGTTTTCGAAAATCAGCAATTACATTAAATTGTTCAAGATGAGTTGTAGGTGAGTGTCTATTTCAACCGCAATTCCTACGTCCACCAGCCATTTGTCTAACTTCAAGAAATTAACAATTGCAGCAGAGCACAGGCGCAGTTCAAAAGTATGGAAATTCGACAGGCCGACTTCGCTGCATTCATCGATGTCTTAACCGCGAATACCTACGTTATGGTGATTATGTCAGATTTGAGTATTGGTACGTAAAAACATACATTTTATTTTCTCCATACTTGGCAACATTCTAATATTTATCGTATGCACTGCTATTGTTCAGAACCGTCGGCGACCAAGATGAATATTAGTGTTGCGAGAAAACATTTCGAAAAATTAGAAGTATCACACATTGCCCGATGATGATCTCATCATCTGACTACTCAATCGAGTTGTACAATAGTTTTTTATTCTAGTTCAACTTCTCATCGAGGTTGCTGCAGTTATTTATTTATTATAATTTGTCTTGATACCTGTATTTTATTTATTTTCATGCGAGGATGTAACAAACACGAATTTGCAATTTTAACACATGCATTTCCAAATTATAAAAGGATTTTAATGGAAGTTTTCAATAATTTTTCAAAGGTGTTATATACAGGGTATTGTTTGGAATTATCAAATTGTCATGATTATTTTATAAATTTTTTTGAAGTATATAAGATGTAAAAATAAAAGGTATATATTAAAATTCCATGTTATTTATATTTGCAAGTTACAAAAAAAGTATTCATATAAATATCTTTAGTAAATATAAAATTATTACCACAACCAATCTTTTTTTAATTAAATCTATAAAAATAAAAATTTGCTTATGTGGGTGGGATCTTGATTGGTTGAAATACATTGGACATCATGAATCCTTATTATAATCATTCACATGTTGATTTAATGACTTTTACTTAATCATGTATGCTGTATATTTATTAACAAATGAATGAATAGATGTTTGATTAATCAATTAATTTAATTAATTGGGTTTTTTATAACTTTTCTTTAGGTAAGCCAAACTATTAAATCAGAATTTAATTTAAAATATTTTTTAGCTTTGAATTCGTGATGGCAATTATTAACAGACAGAGAAAATTCGTAAGGAATTATATTAAATGTAAATAATAAAATAATTTTTCATGTCTATATCAATTATTACTTTAAAAAAAAAATACATGTATACATAAATGTCAAACTTGATCTGCCTTCTTTTGTTGCTTAATGAGGCAATGCTACTCAATTCCGATGTGTGCCTCACTTTGTATGCATCCAATTCAATTCTATTTTAAAAATATCCATGATCTACAAATTTTTTTTTTTTGGTTAAGTTTAATTTTCCTAAAATGTGCTTCCACACACTCTTAAATAATTTCCATGATCATTGTTGTACAATAGTATCATTAATAAAGTTACCTCCGCCTCTTCTATGCTATACCATATAAATAATTTTGTTATAACGTGTGGATCTCAATTGATGAGAGTGTGATGAATAATTGACAGTTGGAGAGGTTATATGGAGTGATGTTGATTAAGACGTGAATATGGTAATCTCACGCGTATGTATATGTACATTTGCACGCGCTACCTAGGTATATTATATATATATATATTTTCCGATACTATAATTCATGGTGTTCGTGAATTGATAAGGGTATCCGACTTGTATCTCCAAAAAGCACCTTTAATCCTGAACGTAAAAAAAGAGGTTTTTAGTTTAGAGTACAAAGCGCACCGAAAACAAGGGAAATTTGAGAATCTTAATACCTTTTTTCGTTTCATCATCTATCACCACGGGAAAAACTACATTATATTCCACATACAAGTCACCTTTATGTTTTGTTCGATATTGAGGCATGCCCTCACTTTTTATTACTTCAATGAAACCGGGTTGCGTAACTTGATCACGTTTTAGTATGATTGTTCTTCCATCAAGATGTGTAAAATTCTTTTCGAAACCCGTTAATGCCTGAAGTAACGAGATTGTATTCCGAAAAAAAAAAAAAGTTTAATGATAACAGCAAACATAACAGTGGTAAAATTGTCGCTCATACACTTACATCGATTAATGATATTGTTTTCTTTGTATATAAATCATCACCTTTTCTCACAAAAGTTGGATGCGGAAGTGTATATACTTTAAATATGATATCACCGGGTATTATGTCTGGAGCTTCATCACCTTCTTTCTCAAAGGTCTATGATGCCAGAGCTCACACATTAGCTGCAAAGTTGATTGGTAATTAGCGAATAAAGAATTTGATAACCTACCACGGTACCACCATCTACCATTCCAGCCTCAACAGCAACAGTTAATTGTTCATTCGCGCGGCGGACCTTTTTTCCGTTGCAGACGGGACATTTTGTCTTTACGATTTTACCCTTCCCACCACACTTTTCACACCTGATAAGCGAGAAAACCAGTTGTATCAATGCAAATTCTATGCTTCTGACATATTAAAAAATTTGTTACTCACGTCGAATGGTACTGTTGAAAAATTCCTGGTCCTAACATTTGCTTTACTACTTTTACGCCATTTCCGCTACAGGTACTGCATGTTTCCACATCATCAGGGCTTTTCGCACCGCTACCTCTACAATGTTCGCAAATGACTTGTTTTGACACATCCACCTCCAGCTGAGTTCCTAGGTACAATTCTTTTAAGTCTACTTCTAATTCCATAACCACGTTTGGTCCTTGACGTTCTGTTTGCTGACGGCCTGTTGTTCAATAATCAACCGATTTTTTTTTACTTAATCATTGGAAGAAAAAGATAACGGTGACCAAATATAAGCTAATTGAAACCGCACATACCAAAGTGACCCGAACCGCCGAAGAATTGTGCAAAAATATCAAAGGGACTGTGAAATTCCTGACCTCCTGCACCCTGTTTCAATCCTTCTTCACCATATTTATCATAGATCGCGCGCTTTTCTTCATCCGACAAAACTTCGTAAGCTATAAATGAAATAGGGTTCGATCGGTTAGCATGAGCTATCTAGTTGCTTTGTGAAAGTCCGTTTCGTTTTTTGACAAGTTTAAAAAGCTAATCGCGACTTAAAAAAAGTTTTCGCAATAAAGACGCGAAGGTTACCTACCTTGGGCCAACTGAACAAATTTTTGTTCTGCTTCTTTATCCCCGGGATTCTTATCAGGGTGATATTTTTTTGATAATTGTTTATATTTTTTTTTAATTTCTCGTGATGTTGCCGAGCGGGAGACACCTAGGATCTCATAATAATCTGCTCCGGCGCATACAAGGTCAACGGAAAGTAGTAGAAGAAGTACCCAAAACGGTAAAGAGTTGAATTTCATGATGTGCGAGTGAGATTGGACGGGAGAAAAGAAAAGTTTTGGTACGTACGTAAAATCAAGAACGCCTTCTTTATATGTATGTACGTACGCACTTCGAGTGCAGATCAAATTGTTGTCCTTCGTTAATTGGTCGATTATTATTTCCATACAAGGTAGGACAGCTGATCATCTTCTTATATCGCATCAATAGTCGTAGATTCTTAATTTTTACGTGTCGAACTAACTACATGCGACGATGCGACCTGACCAATATAAGCAATCACGTTCGCGGAAGCATCAATCCAAGTTGCGCGGCTCACCAGAAGCGACCGAAATTCAAGAAAAACGAAAGGAACGCAGAGCAAAATTACACAGGCCTCGAAAAAGTGAGCAGAGCGAGAGCGAGAGCGAGGAGGAAGAAGATTCGGGCAAGTACATCTAATGTTTCCTTTGTTATCTTTCACTGGTGGGCGGAACTTATACTTTTAATCGAATGTTAATAGTTAAGCCAACCCGTCAACGTTCTCAACAACGAACGCTTGGAAGTAATGCTGACCGATATAAGGATTTACCCAGTGAAGGTATTTAACTGCCTTTTATTTATATCTTCGTTAATCAATCAACCTCTTACATTCAATCTTCCTGTCACTATGACATTTAAAAAGACACCGAGATCCAAGATGGAGGTGATTCGGAAATAGATGATTTCAAGCAAATGATAGATCATTCGGGTAATTTTTGCGTTTTGGGTCTTAAATCTTTCTCGATAGATCGTGTTTATCTAATGTTGACTCATTATTACCATAGAGGATAGGTCATTCGATCCGTCAACCTATTTTCAATTCAAAGAGGAGAAAGAGTGGAATGAAAATATAATCGAGGCAGACGAAGTAAGAACTATCATTCGTCGTCAAAATATCAATTTAATTGAGTTTGTTCGCATACTCACACATGAACTTTTTCCACAGATTTATAAAAACTTGATGAACATCCAATTTGACGATTTAAACATGTCGCTATGCAGCGTTCCACTACATGAAAGGTTAGATTTAGCCGACGATATTTTTTTGGTACGGAGAACAGATATCATTATCGGCTAGATATATAATTGATGAATCCGATAAGAATACTACCGTTATTCTCTTTTCATTTCCAGGAAGAATCGGACGACTTTACATTCGATATGAAACACCCGTTTGTGCCGAAATCAGTAAGGTCGATTAATTTATTACACGGAAAATCAGGTGACACTTACCGATCTGGAGCAAATGATAAAATTTTGGCACCAAACACCAAAACGACTAAACGAGGTGGATAAGATTGTATTCATTATTACCGTTATTTTTATGTTTGAACATTGACTTATTGATTCTTTTTCTTTGATTATAGACAAGGAAAAGAGGATCCTCGATTCCCGGTCAAAACCACCAAATAATAATAATACCTCAAAAGGTAAGTCATTACGCAGTTGTTTCCAATTCACCTTTCAGTTTCATGCTAACCAGAAATGATTCTTCATATATTCAGTTCCGATCTCATCGCCGTCATTTGTACCTAAACAGCCTGGCAAATCTGGAAATACAAAAAATGTAAATACTCCCAAGTCCAAATCAAATTCACTGGCTGATTCATCGAGATCCATACTGACCACACCGGTCAAAGATGATGAGGACATTGATGATTTCTTAAAGTCGCTTGAAAACGAGGAAGAAGGTAAATAAGTTTATGCGCTCTGATTTCGACTCTATTCTCATAATTACTTTTTTTTTTTTGAATAGTTGAACCAAAAAACACATCAAGTTCCAAGTTTCCTGTACCAAACATCAAGAAAAAACAACCTGTGCAGAAGATCACATCTTATAATAATAGTAATAATAAAAATTCAGAAAAGAGTGTGGAAGATGACATGGAAGATTGGTTAGATGACGTGTTGAAGTGATAGATGTTTATTATTATTCATCGCAATCCGTAAAATGATTTCAAGGCGTCAGTGTACTCCTCCGGGTATTTCATGTAATGTTGGACGTGTTCACTGTTACGCTCAAATCTTTTGCCTATTACTTTCAGAACACCCTTTTCGTTGAAATCGCCTTTTCTGCTTATTAATTTTCGCATGAATTTGGTTATATCATTCTCATGGACGATTTTATCGCCGGGACCATATAAAAATAAATATTTAATGTTTCTACCATCAAAAGTTCCACCGGGAATATCATCCAAAGCTTTGTGAGCAAATGCTTGGTACTTCTTCACAAAAGGCAAATAGAAAAATAGTGACAAACAGGAAATCAAGAAGGGATGAGGTTCTATATGGTGGGGATCGTCTGGCATGATTTTTGCTTTCAATAAATTATTTTGATTTTTGGGAAAGAAACCGCCGATAATTCCCAAAGCGATGGTTCTTTCGAAAATAGGTGAGGGCGCGGAATCTATAACACACGATTTTATGGAATTCAGGAAGGAATTCGCTTCGTCAGATGATATCTCCGAACTAATCGATGGATCGTTCGCAATTTGTCTGATCTTCTCGCATAACATGGCGTAGTGATAAGTGCCGTTGTTACTAAAAACATGGAAGCCAATGTTGTCGGGTTTTCCGCGTTCAACCCAATCATGTATTAACTCCTTTGCAAGAAGATGGATATTTTTCAAAATTGTCCAAGGAAAGAAGACGTGATGAAAACGAGGTATGTGGGATAAAGTGTCGATGTGTAATTTATCTACATATAAGGAAACATATTTGTGCAGAGTTTTCGGTTGACAATTCCACCAACCGAACAAGATTACCAAGGATGGCTTCTTGTCCTGAGATGTATCCGAGGAGCTATCGGGAAGAGTCGGAAATATTTCGGATGAAGACGAAGGATTCTCATTCTTCTGCGCTGGTTGAAAAACGAATGTTTTTTTTAAATTCTGGGAATTATAAATTGTCGTAAAATTACGACTTTGCAGATAAAGGAATTTCGATTTCGGAAAGCTTGAAAAATTTGACAAATATCCATGAAATGATTTAGTCGATCGAACAGCATGGTTAGAGAGGCGTCTCGTAAAACTCTTTGTGTTTATTAACGTGATGGAAGTAGCAAGAAGAAATGAAACCTTCGTTCGATACATTTTGATTGTCAACGTACATTCTTATGCATATTATATTTCATCGATTTTTTTTTATCACGAGGATACAGCCATTTCAAGTTAGTATGAATTTTCCGAAAAACTCTCGTGATTATGAGTGTTTGAATTTCGGTAACGTGATCTCTTCCCAATATTATATATCAAGTAATTTACGAGCAAATTAATTTATTTATTTATCGTCCCAATAACCTGTTGCTTAAATATGATCAATGTGATAATTTCTGAGCACAAAATATCTAATATATACAGTCACTAAAATACGAGATTTTTATACATGATGGTTTTAAGAAATTTTCGCGTTTGATAAATCGAGTTCGGGATGCGCAGCTGCAAATTTTTTAAGCATTTCTTCCTTCTGGAGTTCATCTGACGTCTTTTTACCTGCTTGTTTCTGGTGTTGATCAAACTAAGATATGCATTTGTCGTATTAATTACTCGAAGGATAAACAACCCACAAATTTATATCTAAATAGAGTAAAAAATCATCTACACTTTACCATCATCTTTTCAACCATCGCTCGAGTCTCACCGTCCAGATCGCTTAGCTTCGAATTTTCCGGTTGAATCTTTGTCGTGTCGATAGGTGGATGAGTGGTGATGACATTTTCCCACCAATCCGCTTTATTCACCTTTTCCAGGTGAATAAAAACTTCCTTTTGATCCTCTACATTCATAATAAAATATGTGTAAGTTTTTTCTCTAGATAAAAACCGATTCATTAATTTTCAATTATTTTTTTTACCAAGAGTCCAAGTGCATTCTTCCACTTTAATCTCTTTACATAATTCCCCCTAGATTAATATGTTATATGAGATTATTGACCACCTTTCCAAATCGCGAAAAAAAAAAAAAGTTTAATACATACCTCAATAATGGGCGGTTGACCTTTCAAACCTACCACCATGTTCTTTTTTTTAATTGTTACTATTAAATCTCGACTACGTGTTCCCTTTGGCACAGGAACTGAAACATCAACGTCTTGCAATGTTTGCCTCCACTTGTAAGGCAACGCTGTTTATTTAAGGAAGCATACACAGAAATGAGTCTGAAATTAAGTCAACATCTGTTCTCATTCATTTCCATAATTTACATACTAGCTTGTTCGGCTTCCTCTTTCTTCCTAGCGATTCTGTCGTGTTCCTCACGCTCTTCAGGCGTCATGTCATCGTACTTTTTTTCAGACATTTTTTTTTTAACAAGCAAGAGCTCAATGGAGAAGTAAAATGTGTTGTGTAAAGGAATTAAAGGAATTCAGAACCGAAATAAATTTATATAATCTGGCGATCCAATAATAAGCGGACTTTCTGAATAAAAACCACGTGAGATAACCTATGAAAATTTATTATTATTATTTATTACTATATTATTATTAATCATGTGACATACAAGTTACTCTATGTATAATCATATTAATGTTCGTTCCTAGTATGTTGCCTGAATTCGTCTAATGCTTTTTTGGCCTTGCCACTTGAGATGCTTTCGCGCGCGAGTCTCACCCCATCCTTAAAATCCTTGGCAAGACCGGAGACTACTAAAGCGGCTGATGAATTTAAAAGGATATAATCCAGGATGGGCCCGTGAAGTTGATCAGAAAGCAATTGCACAAGAACATCCGCATTTTCTTCGGGTGAGCCACCTTTAACTGCGCTTATTGGGTGACTGGGCAATCCGAAATCCGACGGTGTCACGGTATATTCTCTTATGCTTGATCCTGAGAGATGCCAAATCTGGTTCAAAAAAATATCAATTAAGAGAAAAAAAATAAAAGAAACATCAAATACAAAGTGTGCCCAGTAAACAATATACATACAAAAGTTTCGCCCTCAGTGCTTATCTTATAAATAATAATAAACAGATGAGTGTAAGGAAAGGAAAATCTGTGATTGCTAAGTGGTAAAGAACTTTATAACTCACTTCATCTAGACCAATAGCACCATGAACAACCATAGCTTCCGTTGCATTTCTTAACTTCAAAGATTCAATCACAAATCTTCCTAGGTTCTTGGAATGCACTCCAATTAATACCCTTTTTGGTCGAGCCGGATTA